CTGAAGGGAAGAGACAAGATTCAGACCCGAGCCCTGAACTGACCCTTCAGTTTGCACGTGACCTTGGGCCTGCAGAAGTCCAGAAGCCCCAGGGCAACTCTTCTTGAAGGCCCTGGTGCCCAAGAGCAGTCTCTCCTGACTGAGTGCCCCAGAGGATAGCTCATACATTGTCCCCTTGTGATCAGAACTTCTGTAGCCCCTAATTCACAGTCTAGGAGAGGCGTGGAGGCATGTCCCAGCCAGACAGGAAGTCAATGTAGGGGTGAGTCTGAGGCTCTCTGCCCTGCCCCAATCCCACCTCCCCAGCCTCAGTGCCCCTCCAGGCCACCTGGACACCACCGCACCTTGATCTCAGCCAGCTTCGTGCCACGCCCGCAGTCCCACACGGACAGCATGTGCTCATTGGAATCATCTACCACACAGAGAAAAGCGCCCTGGTCCTGAGGGTGGGGGACATGTCAGAGAGCTGAGGGAGGCCCGGAGCTCTGGGGTTCGTGGTTATTAGTCAAGGGGGCGTTGAGAAGGCAGGAGAAGTGGACACATGTCCCCTTTCTCAAGAGAACAGGTTGGGCAGGGCTCAAGAAGGCCGCAACTCCCCAGGCTGCCCAGTGAGTGCAAGAGAGGGGCTCACACACACAGAAGTCTTGGGAGTCAGCTCACCGCGATGGAAAAGGCCAGGGCCCCCACGCCCCGCTCGAAGGCCCCCAACCCTATCTCCTGCAGCTTCAGCAGCGTCTCAGAGTCCCAGACGTGAACCACAGGCTGCAGGGGCTGGTGGAAGGAAGGGGTCAAGGACCTGAAGGAAAGCTGGGCTGGAATTTCATCCTGTCCACCCAGTGTTGGACCTTGGCCTTACCTTCCCATCCTTATCCACTCCAGCTGTCTGTCCTGAGGCAACACGCACACCATCAGGGTGAACAGCCAGGCTAAGGCAGAAAGAGACACACTAGCGAAGGGAAGGGGCCGGTCTCTCAAGACCAGCCAGGCCACCTTCTCTCTGCTGGCAAAGCAGCAAGGCAAGCCTTCCCTCCTCCTCTGTACCTCTTCCCACCAAGCTTCCCACCCCTTCCCCAGAGCTGCCCACTCCCAGACCCCTCACCATCGAACACAGTCTGTGTGCCCTCGGTAGTGTCTCTGGCCGCCGCCTCCAGGGCCCCCTGGGCCTCCCCCAGGCCGGTACAGCACCACCACACAGGCAATAAAGTAGACCACCTCCCCAGAGCGCAGCACAAACAGGTTAGAGCGGGAGTCACGACCCCGGTACCCATAGCTGGAGGGGGGGTCATGGTCAAGGAAAGGGTCAGATCAAGGGGAGGAGGCAGAGGAAGAGGGGAGAAAGACAGGTTGTCTGGCAGCGCCCCTGGTGGGAAGACAGCAGGGAGGATTCAGAGGCTCCCTGACCAACAAACCCAGGAGGAAACCATAAAGAAGCGGGTGGGTAGGAATCCCAAGATGGGCAAGGTGGATCTCGTGGGACTGGAGGGGGCAGGATACACCCAGTCAAGGCTGAGGGTCTCCGGGGGTGGGCCGCTGGGCAGCTCCTCAAGGCTGCGGATGCCAGACGGGATGTACATGGTAATGGGGCGGCCGCGAAGGAACATCTTCACTGAGATGCCCTCTACAGAGAGAAGGCGGGGGTCAACACCACCCTGCAGCCTCCCTCTCAGGACAGCCAGAGCAGAGCTCGCCCCACCATGCCTCACAGGTCCCCCAGATTAGCTCTTGGGGCTGTAGCCCAAACCCTAACTTCATGCCCTAAGTTCTTCCAGACCTCTCTGTACATACCCAAATTGTAATTGCTCCTCCGAGATCCAGGCCCCCCGGGGCTGGAGAGGGGGTCTTTCCCCCCACGGCTGTTGGGAAGAAAGAAAAGCAGAGGGGTTGGGGGTCAAGTCCCAAGAAGGAAGAGGGGAGGGCTGGGACACAAGACCACAGTCTCCTCTGCAGGCTTTCAGTTTGCATGGGAAGCAGTCAGAGCCCTAGAGCAGAGACTTTGAGCTCCATTAAAGGAATGAGAAGACTGAAGGGATGAAAGCTTGTAAAGGCCCGAAGGCCAGACTAAAGGCCAGAACGATTGTAAGAGGCAGTGTGGGTGGCAGGGTGGAGCCCTCTGTTCTAGACCATCAGGCTCTGGGCTTTTTCATTTCCATCTGTAAAATGGGTCCAAAGTGAATCCACAGTGTACACCAGCCCTGCTTCCCTGAGACCTAGGAGCTAAGCAAGGAAGCCCTTGTCTCCCAAGAGGAAAGTGACAGGTGAATTTCCAATATCACTATCATTAGAGGATAATAAGGTGATAATGGCACTTCAGAGAATCCAGGTCAGCCAAGGTTAGGGCTAGGAAAGAGCACTCAGGTGTCAAGGGACAGCTATGCTCCTCCTTGCTCTCTAGGCGTAAAGTCTGATAGATTGGGGGGTGGAGCAGGAGGACTGAAAATTTAAGGCCAATCATCCATGCAAATCATGGGAGGTTTTGGAAAAGTTCCTTGGAATCTCAAAAGTTATGGTCCCATGTGACGGAACAGGCAGGGGAACTGCAGTCAGGAAGAGTGGGTCATCTTGGCTCTAGCTATGTGTCCCCAGGTAAATGACTTACCCTCTCTGAGCCTGCCTCTTCACCTGGACAATAAACAGCATGAGACAACCAACCCCCCAAGATGTCGTGGGAACTGAATGACATGGAGGTGGTTGAGGGTTTAGCCCAGAGCCAGGTATACAGCAGACACCCCAGGAATGCTTGTTCCCTTCTTCCTGTTGGGCAGTGAGGTCCCCCCACCCCATCCCGGGAAGTGAGGTGAGGGGTGTGGAAAGTCATAAGTTTGTGCCTGGGGCGGGGTGGGTTGAGGGGGTACCTTGCCCACCTCTCTGTGCTCCCTGACCGCAACAGCAGGTTGGCTGAGGAAGCTGCCTTGCGGGAGAGTTTCTGTCGAGGCCGCTCGGAGGGGGCTGAGGAGGAGGAAGAATTCCTCCATGGCCTGGAAGGAGCATAATGAGGGGATGAAGGTCATTCCCTCTAACCATGCTCCTCAATCCTCCCAGCCCTTCTGGCCTCTGACATAGGACACTTACCCGTCAGCGCGTTGTGGGGGTTGACCAAGCCTGAGGACCCCTGGGGGGCCAGGGGAGCCAGTGCCACTGCTGCTGCTGCCTCCTCCTTCAGACTGGGCCCCACTGGGCTCTTCACTGCCCCCCTGAGGGGCTGGGGGTCCATTACTCAGGCCATGGGGTCCAGGAGATGGCTCCATCTCCACCTCTATTTCTGTCTGGGTACCCCGGCTCACCAAGGAAGGGCCACATGTGGGCGGCAGTCCTGGGGGTACTGCCGGGCTGCTGAAGAGACAGTGACTTCACCTGATGCCCCTAGAGGCCTCAGGAAGGCAGAGGATGAGGGTGTGAGGTGCTTGTACCTGTCCCTGGGAGAGGTCCTGGTGCCAGCGCCCTGCGGGGAGGGAGGGGGCGCCTGCAGCCGCAGCAGGCGGAGAGCTTCAGCCAGCGCTGCCTTTACCAGCTCCATCTCCTCCTCCTGCACCTGAAGCCGCCTGCTTAAGGACTGCAGGGCCTCCTGAGCAGGGCCCTCACCTGGACAAGGGTCAAGAAGCTCTCAGAATGTGCCCACCACCTGGGGGAAGGGCTGAAGGGATTCTGTCTCCCCCCAGCTTAGCATCTGTCCAAGGGAACTGCCCCCCTCAAACAACCCGAGGCTTGGAGACTGGTGGTAGAGGATCAAGGGCCTCCTTCTGGCAGGGCAGGAGAGGAACCTGGCAAAGCTCCCTTCCTGCTGCTGTCCCAGCCTCCGCAGAGACAGGGAGTACCATGGAGTACCAGGGGGAAATATGGAGTACTGCCCAGGAACGTGGGAACCACAGAAGGAGGCGCAGTACTGGAGAGGCCCGACAGGGCCCACCCCGAGCGAGCGCAGGTCTCCAGGGAAGGTAGAGTAGGGGAGAGAAACGGACAGGATAGGGGACTTCGGCAGTCTTCCCGAAGACTAGGAGGAGAGAACGGCAGTGACAGGACAGAGTAGCAGTGGAAAGCAGAGTCCTAGAGAAGATTCCAGATTCACAGTGAGGGTCTGAAGTAAAAAGATCCGAAATACCGGGAGAATAGGCCTAGATTAACAAGGGGTGGTGGGGGGAGGAAAACATCCAGGGGTGCGGGGTCCAGCGTCCCGCGGGGAGGGGGTGGCATGACGTTAGGGAAGTCCGAAGTGACAGCGGGAGGACACGAGGAACTCGGGAGAGCGACCTGAGGAGCGGCGGAGGATGCTCCGAGCCCCCGGGGGCCGAGGAGCCCGCAGGGACGCCACCCGACAGCCGTCGGGCACTGGCAGCGCCCCATCAGCCGGGCGCTCCGGGAAGGGGCACGCCGCCCGCCCCGCCCCGTACTCACCGGGCCCCCCGGCCCCGTCCATCGGCCCCCGGCTTGCTCCGAGCGGCGGCGTTGGAGGAGGCGTCTAAGCCGCCGGGGCCATGGCTAGGGAGAGGGGAAGGGGAAGCACCCCGGGACGCGCGCGAAAAGGTGCCGTGCCACCCCCCGGGGGCGCTGTCGGGCGCGGGGAAGGGCCTGGAGGGGGCGCTGTGGGGCGGGGGCCGCAGACTCCGGGGCCCGCGGGGCCTCGGAGTCTCCCGGGGCCGCTCTCGGCTCCCGGGGGTGCGGTGGCGGGACCGTCCCGGGCCCCAGCGCCGCTGCACAAACAGGCGCCGGACGCGGAGCCGCCAGGAAGCGCGGGAGGGGGGCAGGGCCGGGGTGGGGGGCCGGGCCGCCTGGTAACCCCTCCCTGTCCGGGCCTCGCGGCTCGGCACGGGGGCGGGGCCACCCCGCTGACCCCAGGCCCCTCCCGGCCTCCGCCCCTCAGGCCCTTCCGGATCTCCGCCCCCGAGGTCCCCAGGGACCCGGGAGGGAGCCCTGACCCCGACGTCCCGCGCCCCAGACCCTGGCCCCTCGGAGCAGAGCCGGCCTGCCCGCCCCACTTCCGCGAGGGGCCGGGGCGGGGTCACGGGATGGGCCCTCGGCCCGGGGGCGGGACTCTTCCTACCGAGCCGGGCCACGGCGGCGCGAATTGGGTCTGGCAGGAGACAGGGGAGCGGGTTATTAAGGCTGGGGTGGGCAGATTCCCAGGGTACTGGGGTCAGAGTAGCATCAGCCCAGCTCCAGCCGGGTTGGGCTAACTCAGCATCCTGCCCTGGCCGACACCCAACACCGACCCCACAGCTCTGCACTCCCCTGGGCAGAGATGCGAGATGGCTGCAGCCCCGCATGGCTCTGGCACAGAGGCTCTGGTTCTTCTCTTGGCTGCTGGTGCTGCCTGGAGGCCTCACACTTCTCGGTAGTGGGCACCTCCTGGCCCAGCTGTGTCACCTTGGCAAATTCTTGGCTCCCTCCTGTGCCTTCGATACCCTGCCCCAGGTTGCCCTGGCAGCTGGTGCAGTGGCTCTGGGCACAGGTCTGGTGGGTGTGGGAACCAGTAGGGCCAGTCTGGGTGCAGCTCAGTACCCTTCCTGGCAAGGGGTTCTGGCCCATCACTGTTGGCTGGCACTGCCAGGGGCGTAGGGTTCCTGTCCTCGCCCTGGGGCTAGCCCTGGTTTTACCTGGAAGTCTGGATGCTGGCCTAGAGGGCCTGGGCATTGCCTTGGCTCACTAGAAGGACACAGAGATGCCCGGACACTGTCACGCCAAACGGCTGTTGGATGAGCTACAGCTGTGGCATCATTGCTGTGGGCACCATGGGTACCAGGGTTGGTTTGGGGTCCAGTGGGTCAGCAGCCATTACCTGGATCCCAATGACCAGGATGTCGTCAAGTGAGTGATCTGCTTTGCCCCCCACCCCTGCTCCTTCTCCCTTGATACCCCACCTTGCCCCATAAGCAATAAACAAGGCACAGTGACTGAGAGCACTGGTCACAGTTGTGCCATTTATTAGCTGTGTGATCAAGGCAGGTACTGGACCTCTCCAGGTAGTGTCCTTGGTGAGTAGAGGTGGTAACAGTATGTACATGGCAGAGTTGTGAAGACAAATGGAAGACCCACGCCTGGAATGTAGTCAAGCAGTCAGTAAATGTCTTGCCCCTTCTCTCTTCTCAGCTGGTGTCCTGCAGACTCTCTCCAGACAGACACCCAGCCCCTCCCTCTGCAGCCGGTTGCAGAGCAACCTGGAAGGCCTCTCTCTAATCGATGGTGTCCCATTCTCCTGCTGCAACCCCCACTAGCCCTGCCTTGCCTGCAGAACCAGCTTTCAGACCTCCACACCCACCCCCTCTTCGATCCCCAACCACCCAACCTACTAAACCTCTGGGCCCAAGGGCGCCACGGGGTGCTGCGAAGGCACCTGCAGGGGTTGGTGAATGCGCTGGGCAGCACGTTGGCTGTCACCTTCCTGCTGCAGGTGAGTCAGCAAAGTGTCTGCCCGCCCTCATCTGGGTCCTTGCTGTTCCCACCCCCCGGGGTACTTTGGAACTGCTGACCCTCACTGACCTTTTTGCCCCTGCTTTCCCACAGACTCTAGTGCCCCTGGGCCTGTGCTACCTACACATGGCACTGGAGGGGCTCGGGAGAGTCTTCGATGGGGAGGGAGAGGCCCAGGGCTATCTCTTTCCTGGTGGGCTGAGAGACAAGCTGAGGGCAGCATGGCTGGCAGGAGGGGCTGCCCACAGGCCAGCACCTGAGGAGGCCCCAGAGGAAGAGGCACGTCCTAAGGAGAGTTTACCTGAGACCTAGTGGAGGTAGGGGGCGGGGAGGGACAACACTAGAAACCTCATCTCAGAACTCCTTGCCAAGGCTCTAGGTGGGGGACTGGGTGCCTGGAATTCGTGGGGTTAAGCAAGCTCGATGGGGTAGAAGAGAAAACCTAGTGTCTGAGGATCTAACCCCTGCGGCCAGAAGCAACCAGAGACAGGAAAAGCAGGGTGACAGGAAAGTGATGTGGAAGGACTGGAGACTGCTTCGGGTGCCGGCTCAGTAAAGCTCTGGACAGAAGCCACAAGGCTTCCTCTCCGAGGGGGCGGGGCCCTGAGTTCTGTCTGACAGAGAAGCCGGGACTCCAAGGTCTTGACCCTACTAAGAACCAGAAGGCAAGCAACAGATCTGCCAATTGAACGGGACAGAGGCTCCCCCAGGTTGAGATATTTTATTCTGGAGGTAAGTGGGGGGGGGGGTCAGCATGCTCAGGTTGGGAGGGTCCAGCCCAGCTCCTCCAGCCCCCCAGTGCATGCCGACCCCAATAAGTTACCCAGTCACACAGCCGCCCTCCCTCCTGAGTCCGTATGTCCTGCTCCGCCCCAGACAGGGAGATCTGGTTTAATACAAGGGCCGCTTGTCCCCAGCCCGTGGGCAGTGCCACATGGCGGGCTGGGGGAGGGGAGAAGCAGCTGGCCTCTCCCTGGGGCTGAAGGGGCAGAGGGGCCAGCCTGGCTCTGAGGGATCAGCCTGTGGAAACCACACCCTGGGCCGGCCAGGAGCCCAGTCCCACAAGGTCGGTGCCTGATGAAGTGGTGGGAGGGTTGGGGCCGCCATCACACCTCAACGGCTGGGTCTGAGCCTCGGCCCTGCCGCTGCAGCTGCTCCTCCTGCTTCATCTTGGGCTTCTCTGTCCTTGTATGCCACACCAGAACCTGTCCCAGGAGGGCTACAGTCAGGGGGGCCAGGCCATGGCCAGGGCTCCGGGGCCCTGAGTGTTGAAGGGATTCTCCAGCCCCTCCACACACAGAGTTGGCTGCACGATGTGAGGGGCAGTTTCCAGTGTTTCTAAAATGGGGCCTTACCTCTTCACTCCAGGACTCTGGGAGACAGAGACCACTTTCCTTCCCTGCCTCCCAGCTTCCCCTTCAGTAGAGTAAGCAACATTGACTCGAGCTCGGGAGGGTCCCTCCAGGTTCAAGCACCACCCTTCAGTCCTCCCTCAGCCTCACTCCACTTCTCCCATCACCTGTATACCCCAGAACCAGGGTTCTCTGCCCACTTCCATCCCCTTACCCGAGTGCAGTTGGCAGCCCGTGGCTCCAGGTCCTTGGGATCCACGAGGTGGCTCAGGAGACTGCTCTCCAGGTGGCCCCGGGGAGCAGTAGCATCAAACTGGGCATTGGGTTTAGCCAACAGCAAGCGCAGCGCAACAGCAAACCCTGCCATATCCACTGGGAAGGGCCTGTTGGGCTCCCATGCCGTGTGGAAGCCCACAACCCGGCCATCCTGTACCCGAGGGCCCTCAAATCGCAGGCCGCCCACTAGCCCCACGGGCCACACAGAGACGCCACGGGTCCAGCGCATCTAACGGGTCAGGAGAGAAGAACCATGACAGGGTCGGCCCAGTTACTCAGGGGAATGCAAAGGGCAGAAAGGTCACTCTGCTGTGGCCTCCCTGCTCTACCCGTCCTCACTCAGCAGCAGCCTAGAGCAATCCTGATAACAAAGGCAACAGGAAGCTGGCCCCACTCAGCTTCTTTCCACACCCCGTCCCAGTGCTCACCTCCTCAAAGAGTTCCCGACTGTAGGTGTTGTCATCGTCAGCAAAGTACACGACTCCTCGGGTCCCTGGCGGAGGTGGGTCCTTCTCTCCCCCCACAGCACCCCCTCCACTCCGGAGCCAGTCCAGGGCCCTGTTCCGCTGCTCTACACCACGGGGATGAACCCAGCCTGGCTCACCCTCCCGGAGCCGCTGGGCCTTGGGGGTGAGGACTGTCAAGTGTGTGAACAGGAGGCCTGAGGAGGCTAGCAGCCCAGAGACCAATGGGGTGGGGCCCTCGGCGTCCTCCACCAGCAACCAGTGCAGCCGAGGCACGAGGCTCAGGGTCTGGGACAAGCGCACCAGCTCCGCCTTCTGCACCAGCCTGCCAGGGAGAGAGGCAACAGGAGGGCAAGAGGTGGGCACAGTTGGCTCACCGCAGTAGGTACATAGCTTCTCCGGGTCCACTTCTAGCATCCCCTGTGGCCTTTTCCCGCCGAAACCCAGATTCCTTCTCTTGCCTGTCAACATTTGATGATCACCTGCCCTGTTCTTCCAGTCCGTATCTGTCACCCATGTCAACCCCAGGGCTCTGGCTGTGCCAGACTATTAGTTGAGGGCCCAGGCTTTGGAATCAGGCAGATCTGAGTTTGAAAGCAATTTCTGTGACTTATCGGGTGAGACATCCGGGGGACATGACTCAACCTCCCCAAGTCTCCTTGGCTATATCATGGGATTAAGCACACTTTACAAGGTTGTGAAAAGGTCAAATATGATGACTTCCCAAAATACCAGTAGGACCAGGTTCTTTTCCTGGTACACTTAGGTTTCCACCTAGAGGAATTCAGAGGAGCCCCTTGGCTCATTCCTCCCTAGTAGAGAGGAGTTGCCTGTTCCTGGGCGGAACCCCTAGAGGTTCTAGAGTTGCCTGTGCCTAGGTGGGTCAGCAATCAGATTCTAGGGAGGCATGTCAACAGGCCCTCTTGGCCACCGAGCCAAGACCAAGTTCCTCAATTGGTTTATATCAGTAATAAAACTACATTTTTATTTTTAAAAGTAAAGCACTTAGCACAGTGCTTGGTAGAGAGCACACAGGCAGTAAAGTCATAGGTAAAGTCACTATTTCTAGGGTGAAGCCTTTTTGCACTTCAATTTACGTAAGGGTTCTCAACTCACCCCAAAGGATCCTTAATGAGAAAAAGTGAACTCATTGGCAAGCTCAAAATCTCTCTGAAACTTAAAATTTCACATGAATTTTATATTTTACTTCATAGCACACCCCTGGCCATTTTAATAGAAACAACCAATTTCCTGCAAAGCTTTGCGTAACATTGCGGCTCATTTATCCTGTCTTTTGCATGTTCTAGTTTGAGGCACATCCCCTGGTGCAGAGCCAACCACCCCCCCAACTCCTCTTCAACCCCGACCTCTTGGTCCATGCAGGCCTCTTAGCTGCACCTGAGCCATACCTGGCATAGGTGGGGGTAACAACATAGATAGTAGGCAGGGCCTCAGGTTCAGGGGGCTGGGCAGGGGCAGGGGGTGGGCGGCGGAGATCGGCTTGCAGCTGGGTGATCCTCAGATCCTTCTGCCGAAGCTGCTCAGCTGCTGCCCGGAGGGGAGGGAGGCAGTCACACGGCTGGCCTGGTCCCGGGAGGCAGGAATGGGGGCAGAGAACCAGAGCATGTTCAGCATCCAAAAGGGCCATAACCTTCTCATTCAATTCCGAGCCAATGCAGGAGTCTCTTTACAACTTCTAACAGCCTCGGTACACCTTTGGTGGCAGGGGGAACTCACTGCCTCCATTAGCAGCCCCTCACCATCTTTAATACAATTCCTTTGTTTCCGTTTTGCTTTGGACACTAAGCTGATTATCTGCCTCTATCCTTTCTACCTGCTGGTTCTAGTTCTGCTTTCTGGAGCCATAAAGAACAGGAGGAGCACCTCAAACAGGACAGTCTCTCAAATACCTGAGGATCAAGCAGTGGCCCTAAATCCCTGTATAAGAGGCAGTCCTGGGACTAAAGACTCATTAAATTCATTGATTCCAACACTGGATATTTATTGAATACTCCTTCTGGGAGGCACTGACTTAGGTGCTGGGGATACAGCAGGGAACAAAAGAGTCAAAGTCCCTTGCTTTCAAGGAGCTTTCAATTTCCTGGAGGAGGCAGACACTAAGCAAAACCACAGAAATGAAATCATCACAAATTGCAATAAAGGACATGCGGGAAACACAAGATTCCAGAGAATGAGCTACTTTGGCTAAGGTGGTCAGGAAGGCCTCTCGGAGGCGGTGGAATGAGCTGAAGGGTAAGAAAGCAGCAGTGCGGACGAGCCGAGCAAAGCACTGCAGGAGGGGAGCAGGTAAAGCGCTTGAGCAATGAACGGGTTTTCGAGAAACTGTCACGAAGCCGGTCTGGCCCGAGCAGCGCGAGCGCGAGGGGAAGGCGCCGGCAGGCTCGCGCGGGTGCGGGGCCCTGCAGGCTCTGGAAAGGAATCTGGATGTCATCCGAGGTGCGGCGGGAAACCGCGGGGTGCTCGAGAGTGGGGGTGCGCCCGGCGGCCGCAGTGGGCTGTCGGGAGCGCGGAGCCGGATGGATGGTGTCTGCGCCGGGGCTCACCCCAGGGCGCGGGGCACGGCGCCCGCTGCACCCCCGCCCCGCCCCGCTCACCGAGCTGGACCAGCGCGTAGAAGAGGCCGGCGATCGATACCAGGAAGTAGGCGAGAAACACATTCTTCAGCTTCAGCTTCATGGCCGCGCCGCCGCCGGCGCAGGGCTGGCAGGGTCTGGCGGGGACCCTAGGCCCGCCCCCCGCAGGCCCCGCCCCTGCCGCGGCCCCACCTGCCTCCGGCTGCTCGTCGCCGGCTCTGAGCCCGGCCCGCAGGCGCCCGCCGGGCCCACTTCCGGTCAGCCCGCAGCCCCGCCTCAGTTGACTTCCGGTCCCACCGCCCAGACCTGGGCACCACGGGAGTGGTGACGTCACGTCCGCGTTTCAAGGTGGCGTGGCCCGCGGTCCGGAGCCCTGGTGGGAGCACGTGGGTGCGCCCTGGAGCGCCTCCCTTTGAACTCGGAATCGCTTGGGAACTCCAGCCCCTGTGCCGATTTCCGGCGTTCATCCCTCCAGCAGGCGCAGCGCAGCGCACTCGCCGCGCGAATGAATGAAATCGAGGGCTTTCCACGTGCCGGACCCGAGCAGGCTGCCTTCTCTAATTCTCACGGTAATCCTCTGCGATACATGGTATTTATTACCTCCATTTTATAGGTAACTATGTTGACAAAAGTTATGTAGTTGCGGCCTTGCAATTTCTTAAAAAGATGACAAGGCTGGGGGTGGAGACAGCAGGCAGTGAGCTTTCTCCCAGGAAACTAACTGGAAATATTTGCTGAGCTGAGCAATTCTATGAACACCTCTCCTACCTCCCCACCGACACTCCTGAGCCATCATTTCCCAAGTTTCTTATAATCTGTAATACGCGTGGTCTACGAAAGAAAATCTATTTCCTCTTATCAAAACGATGGCGACTTTAAAATGCCGTTTGCCTTCAGTGTGACAGCATCTGACCCTCCAGCTATTTCAATACTAGAGAGACCCTATCAGCTCTGGCGGCCACTCCTCCAAGTAGGCCTTATTAAAATCTGATGAGCTTGCTGGGCTGGGCTATGAAAAAACTGGCATCTAGCGAGCTGCAGGCTTGTATTCACTCATTTTGCTGAACCAAAGAGCCTTATGCTGAAGCTAAATGAAAATACGAGGCCTGCAGGCTTCTAGGGTTTATGGCTGAGGCCAGAACTAGAATCCAGACACCTGAGTTATTTATGGTTTATCTCTTTATTTTTTTCTCCTTTTATCAAAACCTGTCACAGCTGGGGGCCAAGAGGAAGTAAAAAAATTCCCACAAATATTCCCCTCATCCCTAGTTAGTTCTCCCCCCACCCCCACCCAGGGATTCAGACCAACCCTGGGTATACATGATCATCTCCCCCCACCCTTAGCCTTCTCCCAGCAATAAATACAGGTGACGTGATTAGATGAAACCACAACTGATTTCTCCATCTTGAATGCCCCTCAAGGGGACAAAAAGGGATCCAAAGAAGTTTAGTGTCCATTCCCTCACAGGAGGAATGGAAACTTCTTTTCCCTAAAGGACAGGGGAGGCAGACATGCCCCTGTCAGAACTGCAGCAGCTCTAGAAGGAATGGGGAGAGGAGAGGATAGGAAAGGTTAGGGAGGGGGGACCAGGAGTTCTCCAGCAACCTCCTTTGACCCATTCAACCCTTATCAATGGGGCAGAAACAGGGGAGGAGTGACAAAGAACCACCAGGAGGGAAAACAATTTGGTGGGGAGGGCAAGGGAACCAGGAAAGGAGCCCTAAAGCTCACCGCCCTCATCTTCCAAGAAATGGCTTCAATACAGAGATCTGAATGGACAGGGTCCAGAGGAAATTCAGGGCCCCCCAAAAAAGGGAAAGCAAGGGTCTTGTGGTCCCCACGTCTTCACAGGTGAATGTGCTCCAGTTAGAGCAACAGTACTGGGGCATGAAGGGAAAGACTTGGTGCCAAGGGGGCGGGAAAGGTCAAGAGATCACAAGAGTAATTCAGAGCCCAAGGACAACCCTCTCATTTTGCCCAGAGGGTGATAGAGTCTGGGTCTTAGGATAAGAAAAGGTGGAGTCTGGGGAGGGTCACATTCCAAGGCAAAGGAAGAACAACTCTCATCATTCCTGCAGCCCTCCCCAACATCCTTTGCGTTATCGCAGGTGAATACTCCAGTCAGATGCCACATTGACGCCAGGCTTGCGGAGAATCAACACAGAGGTCTCAGGGTCGTGCTGGAAGGACAGGCGGCTTTCAGGAGATCCTGGGGGAGGAAAAAGCAAGCTGCACTGTCAGGCACAGGCCAGGCATCCAGCCCCAGGGCGGCTTCGCCTCTCCCACCTGGTGCCAGATCACTCACCTTCCGTCTGGAGTACCACGGCTGCAGGCTTCCCAGCCCCTATGATCACCACCCGCTCAATCCAGATGGGTGTCTCAAAGCGGCCTTTGGGATCGGCTGAGCTGGAGGGAGCAAACAGGGATGCTCATCAAAGAGGAGGATGTCAGAATAGAAGGGAGGAGGAGACGAACAGAGCCAGTGAGTAGTCAGCGTCTCAGAGGCGGCCCAAGAAGCACGGGACCCTCATTACCTGGAGACAAGGGTGTTGCCAGAGAAGGAGAATCGACGCAGCAGGAACTCATGGCGATTCTGATAGTTGAACGTGTGCCCGTCATCTAGAAAGAGCTCTCCTTGTGCTGTCCCCTGAGCAGGAAGCAGGGCAGATGAGAGCCTGCGTTAGGAGCGCAGGAGGGGTGCACCCCCGGGGACTGAATCCGAGGCAGGCAGGCACACGGAGGAGGTGGCACCTGCCTATGCACCCACCTGGGGGCTGAGAGCAACGAAAAGTGTGATGGGGTCATCCTTCATGCACTCTGAGGAACGCCGCACTCGCATCCACCGGGGCACAACTGTCCCTCCGCGCTGGAACACAGGGATCTGGAGGAGAGCAGTGCTGGGATGAAGCTGCCCCACTGTTCAGCCCTGGACCCTGCAGCATCTTTTCTCTTTTCCACTAAGTAGTGCCCCTTAGGCACTAGACCCCAAAGCATACTCTCCCCATTTCTGGAAACAGGTAGGATGGAGCTAGCAGCTGGGCAGGACACTCACACTGCTTAGGGTCACGGGCAGGTACAGGGTCTGGGGACCATGATGCTTCTGGTAGCTCTGAGTGTCATACCACACCTGTGGGCAGCAGAGAAGATAAATTCTTGGTGGTTCGATGCACAAGGCCCCAGGGTAGTTGCTCCATTTGGCCTCCACCATCTTCCCCTCTATGCCCTTTCTTAACTCACCTCCCCTTGGCCAGGCAGATAGACCTGCACGCCATGAGCCCCAGGGTCTGATACAGGGTGAACCAGCAATGCATCCCCTAAAACACACCAGAATCAACTCTAAACTGAGGGGAACGGTTCCCAGACAGGAAGCACCAAAGCACCTGCCCCCTTGCATCACCAGTCTCGCTCAGTTCTCCAGCCCTGGGCATCCACAGACAAATCTCCCACAAATGCTTACTTCTCAGTCCCATCCCAACCCACCAACAGGCCCCCCTATTTCTTACCAAGCAGGAACTGATCATCTATACTGAAGGTGGTCACATCCTGTGGATAATGCACCCAAAGGGGCCTAGGAAGGAATCAGGACAAGGAGACATGTGAAGTGTTGGCATAAGTCAAAGATACCATCCTGGGAACTGGTGATAAGAACGATGAGAGGGAGGGCCTCCCTGGTGGCGCAAGGGGTTAAGCACAGCACTGTGAAGCTATCCACAGCCTCTGTAGCATGAGTTTGATCCCTGGCTGGCCGGGGAGCTACCCACATGGCACAGCAGACCTCTCCTGTCTCGCCCGCTGCTCCCCTCAGTGGTGTATTTCTGTTTTTTGGTTCTGCTCCCCTCTCTGTCTCTAGTGAATCCTCTCACTCCCTGAACCTCTGGCCTGTACCCCAGTTCTTGTATGCATAAAAAAAAAGAACCATCTGGGGGAAGGAGCCAGAAGCGGGCAGCCAGACTGCACAGCTTCAGGCCTCAGTGCACACCCTTAACCTTGGTCCAGTCAGTGAATTTCCTAACCCAGGTCCCTGCCTCCTTCCCACTCCTCTTGAAGCTGTTCTGCACAACAGTCCTTGAGACAGCCTGCAGAGGTGGCTGCAGTTATTCTGGGCTGAAAGGCCTTCAGGGTGAGGCACTTTCCTCTCCCACCTCATCTCCTGCCACTCTCTCTGATTCCTTCTCCCTTCTATTTTTCTTCTATTCCTGAAACAAACTCATTTGGAATTTTGTACTTGCAGTCTCAACTGAGAACTGCCATCACACGCCCATCTCTCTTGTCAGTCATCTCACACAGCCTCCTCTCAAAAGCATTGTTTGTGGAACAACGGTAAAGGTAATTCCATTACCCCATGCTGGCTTTTCCTCCCAAAGAGCTCGTCACTGTTGGCAATTTTCTTACTTATATCATCATCCTTCCAAAAGTTTTAAGTTCCACAAGGTCAGGACACTTGTCCCACTTGCTTTAGGTTTTGGGGACTGGGACGGATGGCTACTATATCAGAAGCCCCCAGTAATGTTTACCGCTCTTTGTTCATTAGTTTTTTCTTACCCTTAATCTTCAAATCACACTTCTCTTGGTTACAAGTTCCTGGTGAGTGAAGTTCCCTGCACAAGGGAGTGTAGTTTCCACTGTTCCCAGCCCCCACCTCAGCCACTCGACAGACGCCAACAGACTGCCTTACCTCATGACAGGAATCCCCTCACGATGGGCCTGGTAGAAGAGGGTGTACCAGTAGGGTAGCAAGGAATATCGGTGGCCCAAGGCATCTCGGACCATGTCATGGTACTGAGAAGGTAGCAGCCACGGCTCTCGCCGCCCTGTGTCCAAGTGGGCATGTGCCCGGAAGAATGGCTGGTAGGCACCCATCTGGTACCAGCGCACAAGCAGCTCTGGCTCTGGATTTTTGAAGAAGCCGCCCACATCCGCTGGGAGAGAGGAAGGAGGAAGCAGGTTGGACAAAAGGGTGCAGGAGAGCTGCAGTCTAAGAAGCTGCCCAAGGCCCCAGCCTGGACTCAGGTGATGTGATTGTTGCCTTGCCCTCTCCCACCAAACCAAGAGCCCAAATGTCCCCGTCTCACCCCCGCAGAAGGACAGTCCCACTAGCCCCAGGCTGAGGCACATAGGGATGGAGATCTTCAGATGTTC